TTGGAAGTTTCCCGAGTTGTTTTTCGTGTCCGTGTGTTTTGGGTTGAAGAAACCGCATGGTTTTCTGCAATTTCCGGAAGAATTTTCATACTGGTTATGATTCCAGCACCAGTCGGGGTTATCTGTCTCTCGTGGTTTAGAGACAGATCGCTTACGTGAAGTGATTCTTCGAGGGGTGTGTGAACGTTTACGGTCGTTACGAAAATTAAGATACCGCGTAAGTGTATGACATAACTCGGTTATGTCATTCTGGGTCGCTTGAGGCTTTTCTTTGACTGAAAAAATCTCGGTATTAAAAGATTTGGTGATTTCTAAAATGCAGTGCCTTGACTACTGCGAATAATTGTGCACGTGTGTCGATCACGTCAACTTCTGCGTAGCAAAACCAGGATTTGATGTTATCTGGACAGAAGAGCATCAGTTGAAACGAAAGTGGGGACATAGTCTTAAGCTTAAGTACTTTGGGTGTCTGTTCAGTCATGGTGAAATATGAAGTACGAGAACGAACGAGGGAAATATATATATATATCGAAAAACATGAAAAAATATCACAATGTACAAAAAATTAAAATAAGGCAATGATATATAGAATCCCAAAAAGGAACAGACTCACAGTTTGTAATTTGGTGTACCAGATCACGTTAGGCTCACCAATGAGGATGCCACAGGTATTCGGAGTTTGACAAGGCCTTGGCCAGTAACACCTTCTAATATGAACCGTACCCACCTAATGAAATCAAAAGATAGAAGCGAGGCGGTTCGAAGAATCATTCGATAGGCTATCATTATATCGAGGATCGTCTGATCTAATCTGGCTAGCGATTGCAGGGAGTGTTGAGCACGACGTTCGCACTCGTGATCTTGCGCGGATGCATGACCGATCGCCTTCAGCTAGGTGAGTCCATTAAAAGTAATGTGGTCAGCATCCAATGTCGAAAACTTACAGAGCTATTTATTTTGGGGATTTATTTACCGCTACAAACTGATTCCCAGAATAGCATAGCTCCCGTATGATGTTCAACTGACCAAACGCAACCTATCTCCATTGTCCTATAGAAGACCCAGACGCGATTTATTAACGGTTTTTAGGCTATTTGGTGATGAATTGCATCTGATATGCTCTTTTTTTCTGGTCTTCCAAAACAGAAAGTTCAAGATGACACTGAATTTGTTCACAGGACCAGGACAAATTACCTATCAGCTGACTACCACCTTTCTCATCGAATCATCAACGATTGTTAGTGAAGCTCCATTTGTCGGTGCTTTCAACCAAAGGTTGGATCAACTGAGCGACCACCATTATCTGAACTGCCACAGGCCTCCTATCCTCCTAAACTGAAACAACTTCCTGTTTATTCTTTTACTTTGTTTGTTCTTCAAGCCTTTTTTGATTATGAGGCATCGATTGTTTGTCGCTTCTAGACGCATAAGAGGAAAGCTTCCCTAATATCATTGAAAACAGTCTGAGTCATTTTGGAGTTTGAAGGTTGTTTGATTGACTTCAAGTGTTGAGCGGTTGGTAGAATGTGGTTGTTTGTTGGGAATGTATGTGGTGTTTCTTAGTTTGTGTGATCGCTCAGATATCGGATATCAGTAACTCAGCTGCTGGGTATGTATGAAATCATTTTTACAATAATTTGCACAAGTATTTTTCAATTTGGCATGATCGAAACATGAACTTAAGCACAAGATACATCCTAGCTCATTAGTAAAGTAGTTTTTCAAACAAGTTGGTATACCTGGTGTATCGTTTTTATTTTCGGAAATGCATCGATTTATCCCTAATTGAAGTGGGATCCAGCGGGTGATATAGCCAGGGTCGTTTCTTTCCTTGGCTGTCTTGTATGTGGGGCTGGTTTTGTACTTGTCTTAAGGTGTGTAAACTTCTATACAGATTATTGTATTCGTCTTAGAGAAATCATTTTGAAAAGATTTGCTTGACCAAAGTAGGTCTTAAATTGGATCGTCAGTTTTACTATCCCTAATAAGTTGTTTATGACAATCGTATTCACTGACAGTCATTAGGAAATGGAACTGCGAAAGCTAGCTTCTATGGTTTTCTTATCTTCAACATTATTCTCACATAACCACCTCACCCTTTATGTCTCTACAATCTGGCTGTGTCTTCAGCAGCGGTTACTGAAAATCGGCTGGATAGTAAGCAGTATTTTACCGTGTATTCGGCGTTAATTTCCACTCGACTAATTTAGGGCTAGCGATACCGGTGGGTAGCTTGAGAGGCTTTATGGGAGCTTTCAAATATGTAATTCAATTGTTCTAGGTATCGTGCTAGCCACTAATTAATCGCTCTAGAGATGCTCACGTAAATGTCATTAAATGATCTAATACCCATCACTTGTGCCCAGTAAATGCGTAACAAGATAGATTACTACAAGTTTCGTTGAAAAGTGTATTCTTAATCACAATCTAGAAGCTTTTTCATTTGTCAGGCAAGGTGGAGTAACTTCAGTAGAATTCGGCACAATGACTCAGTATCTCAGACTGAATGAATACATTAATAAAATATGACCACAACATAGTAAGAAGAATTTGTCAGAAAATGATGCTTTTTATTGCTAATTTTAAGCGCCGTTTCATCCATATAATCTACCACTGGACACATTTTACTGTTTTGTCAAGCAACTCTGTAAATAAACCGATTGTTTCTATCTTGCAATCTAATTCACTAAGCACGCACCAATATCTTAACTGCACTTACAGTATCAATTGAACTTGAGTAGGTTGAATAGCTGAATACTCCAATGTCTTACTAATGACTAGAAGCTATTAGCTGTTATCTGCTGTTTTTAACGTCTGAAGTGTATACTGCAATATTAAGTTCTGCAGTCTAGTGAATATAGTTCTAAACGTGATAGATCGAGATTCAGCATCACAGAATTTCGAGTAATAACAGGCGTTCAAATCTAAAGTAATGTGTGTTGTTAGGATCTTCATAGAATATGAAGCCCTAAAACTTTGATGCACTCCAAATTTGTCATAAGCATCCCACTTACAACAGTTTTTGGGTTCTTTTGCTGCTGAATAATACCCTAATGAAGCTGAGTTATTCTAACTACGTAGAAACCCTGGAATATAGAATCTTCTCAATAACCTGTGAAGTTGAAGGAGATAGACTAAGTTATAAGATGAAAAGGTAGTTCACTCGATTGGGTCTTTGTGTCCCCTATGTTTCATTACGTTAGTACGAACGAGGGGACTTGAATCTAACTAATTTATTTGACGTTTTTTAAACCCTTTCCGGTAGGTACTAGGTTACACCAGTATCTCACAGTTCGGGATTTCTTGTAAAGGGAGAAGCGCGTCGGAGGTCAAAACACATCAATGTCTCATCTAGTGCATACGACTGCTAATTAAAAAACTACAGCTCCTGAACACACATTTTTCATTTTATTTACGTTTTTCTACCTGTTTTATATGCATATAGAAGTTTTGTAGTGTAAGCGAAAAGTAGGACCTTGTTAAAATGTTTTGTGCTGGAAATTCAGTTGTGCACAGTATTAAGTATTGAATAGATGGATTATTGTTATTGTATAAAATATCGTAAATAACACCAACACGGTTATGTTCACACTCACTTGATACTTTAATTTCTAGCGTCCAAGTGCGTATTCATTCTTTTAACATCACAAGATGATTAATCTATTTTTTATTGATTTGGCTATGCTAATGTCAGTAGTATAGATGTCATGTGACTAGTGCGTGGAATTTATGTCAAATAACGTAATTAGTATCTATAGTTTAATAAAACGAATCTTACTGAATAAATAATATACAGATTTGTGTATTGAGGATAGAAAACCTACAATCTGTGTTTGTCCTAATCTAGTAAGCTTCTGAGTGTCTGGTTTTCTTTTGGATTAGTGAGTTGAAGAGGTGGACACCACTTTTGGTAACTGGTTTCAAGAACCGATGACTCGATATTCGCCGTCTGTACTTTTCTCAAGATATCCGAGTCACCTTTTAAACAGAGGCTTGCAACGTAAACTGAGTTTTCAAGTTTGGATCTCACTAAGGTTGTATATAATGTAGTGAACATATTAGTATCTAACTTGGTAAACGTCCGTCTTAAAGCTTATGGGGTTTTGTACGCCTCAGCTGCTACCTCTAGGCAGTAGACCGTGGTCTTAATATCATGACTAATTTTCATCTGAAGACCCAGACTATGGGCACTGACTTCCTCTGTGCTATATATGTTTACATTTGTATCCTCAATGTGCATGTAAACATACTTAGCCACGTTGATAGGCACTAACCATTTTTTAGATCAGCTAATCATAACATTGAAGTCTGGCTGAAGTGCACATGCATATACGCATCTTATTACTTCACTCGATTTTTACATCAGCGTATAGTAGCATAGGTGACTCAACCATATTTGGGTGTTCATTTACATACGGTATAAAAAGTAAAAGACCTAGGACAGAGCATTGCAGTACTCCACCAAGTACTGGTTTCCAGTAGGAGCATTTGAAATTCATTCTGTCTGTCTATGACCTACCAAGAAATCGTTGATCTACTTTAGGAGAGGTCCGGCAATTCTTGAGTTTTCCAGCCTCAAGAGTAGTTTATATTTTTGGCACCTTATCAAATGCTTTGCTGAAGTCTACGTAGATAACATCCACTGATTTTCTGTTATCTAGAGCCTTTGTCCATTGATTTCGCTTTAACGGGGGTTGTTATGCAAGATAATCTATTCTTGAAACCATGTAGTTCGCTGTTTAACAAGTTGTTGGTTTCCACAGATGTCATTATAGTCTTTTTGATTATTCTTTTAACTACGACACTGGTGAAGCTAACAGGTTTGTAGTTTGATGGAAGTTGTTTCGATCCTGTTTTGTCCTTCTAGTTCGTAGGTAACTCATCTTGTTCAAGTGACATATTGATTATCGTAGTGAGTTATAGTATCACTATTGTTTTTCTCTAATAACAAAAGGCATTTCATATTATTGATTTTAGCAGGTCACAGAAAAGTAACAAAGATGCCTAGTGTGACTACAACAAGTACTGTCAGTTCATCAGGAGTTCGTTTAATGCGTAAAACTTCATGTACTGGTACCAACGATCAAGCTAATAATTCTTCGTTTCAACACAATCCTGACAGAAAATCACTAAGAGATCAACCAAATGTAGGGAAATATAAGTTAATTCGTACACTTGGTCGTGGTAATTTTGCAAAAGTCAAATTAGCACAACATGTTTCAACTGGACGTGAAGTGAGAATTCGAACATTATTGATTTTTACAGATTATGTTTTATGAAAATCACTTAGGAATTTTCTAATTCAATTTGTATATTAATTTGAATAGTTTTTCTCCAAAACTGATATTCGCCTGAATATAGCTCGTTGAAAATAAGTCAGTGTTAATCCAAATAAGGTATTCAAGTATTCCATTCGATTTATATGCAAACGACATTGTCATTGAAATACAAAGTAGAACAGCATCCTACCATGTTAACACACTTCAATCCATCGTATATGTAGTTGATCATAGACAAACAACTTCATCATGCAGAAGTAGTTTCTGATTATCATTTCAAATTTCATTACCAGTTTGATTCAAACTGTTTATCAGATTACTGTATAGATTGAAGACTTCCAAAATTTGTATGGTAATCATTTAAAACAATTAGTCCCTTTGATAAATTTCGATAATGATATTAGAAGACGAAGATTATCAGAACTATGTGATATATTAGCGCAATACATTTCGAACAATCTGGTCACACATATACTTGTTAAGAGCACTGTGTTTACCAATTTAAATGTGTGTGGTCACACATACATAGGGAGGAGTAATCGTGATCTCAACATTAGGGTGAGTGAACATGTACCCAAATGGCTTCAGAAACAAATACAATCAAGTGACCCGATAAGAGCAGAGGATAAACATCCATCATCCTCTATTGCTAAACATATAATTGAAACAGGTCACAAGATTGATCTAAATTCAGCTTTTGTAGTGCTGTATAAAAGTGTAAAAGGGCGTATACTAAGGTTCATTGAAGCCTTAGCCATACGAAAATTCAAACCCCCTTTATGTGTTCAAAAACAGTTTGTTCTTACCTTAAACCTACCCTGGTAATATTGACTTATTATCCAGAGTGATTAGGTTTCAAATTGTGTTCACATTAATATTATTATTACTCTTATCATTATCCTTATCTCCTCTTACCCCGTTTCCTGTCTAGTTGACCTTTTATTTTTATATATAAATGCTCTTAACAAGTATATGTGTGACCAGATTGTTCGAAATGTATTGCGCTAATATATCACATAGTTCTGATAATCTTCGTCTTCTAATATCATTATCGAAATGGTAATCATTGTTTATGCTTAACCAGTTATTTATTTATTTTTCTTTTAAGAAACTAAAAACCTCCCCCATTATATTATTGCAGGTTGCTGTGAAAGTGATCGATAAAACTCAGCTTAATCAGGCCAGTTTGAAAAAAGTAAGTTAATTAATTAGTGTAACACTAACATGCAATTCACTTACTGAGTACATATTTGTTTTTTCAGCTTTAAGTTACTGTAGTTAGGAGGATGATGATTTTATCCGACTGCTCAAACTGAAGTTAAACTTGAATTTGTAACCTACTAATTGAAAGTTATTAATCTGTCATCTCTCCTATTGACTTCATTCAATCAATCAGTCATCATCACATAGAACCTGGTACATATGAGTATCAGTTCGATATACCACATTATATGAAGACAAAGATAAAATTTTTGAATGCCAATACCAGAGTAGTAGATGTAGTAAAATTATTGTTAGTAATAGAATAGATTAGGTATAAATGTTATATTTTAAGAAAGAACAAATTTACGCAGTGAAGAGTGTAAGGTTATTTTAAAACTCAAGAGATGACTAATAGTAAAGATTCGTTATTGTTACTTGTTCTGAACCATTTCACCTGATATTTTCAACTATTCGTTATGATTATTACCCACACACTAATAAAGTAGCCTACATCTGCTAATGTGGCCTAAGTCAATAGCTGTGATCCTATCTCATCAATTATATTACGCGTTCGTGCTCAAGACTGATAGTCCCTCGGTTCAAATCTCGCGGGAGGGAGGCGGGACCGTGGATGCGCACCGTTGAGGTGTTCCATACTAGGACGAAACGGCCATCCATTGCTTCCAGGTATTCCGTGGTGGTCTAGTTTCAATCGACTGATGATTTCAACTATTGAAATATATTAAAATCCTTGAAGTAATTATAATCTCTATTGTAATTTTTAGTGGGAATGTTAGTTTTGCCTATTAGGTTAATATGCGTTTCACCATAGATGAGCCAGAGCTATTATGAAACTACTATCTTTCTTGCTCTAAGATACTGAAATACTATCAAGTAATAAATGGTATAGATCATTTCTATCTCTCGCTCTCTCCGTGTGTGTGTCTATATTGATTTTCTCCCAAATTAATTGTCTATCTTCCTTTATTATTATTATTATTATTATCTTCTTATCGAATTCGTTTTACTGCTTATTTGTATGGTTTGTACATAAGCATGAAAGTAAGTGGGGAGAGAGAGGGAGAGAGAAAGAGTGAATGATTAAGAGATGACAACTAAGGTCAATGGGCCAATATGTATATTACAGAATTCCACAAATAATTAAAACAATAGGCTGTCTGTCAAAAAATCAATAATAATAATAATAGAATACTAATGATAAAGTCAATTTGACACGTGTTGCTATCTCTCTCCCTTTTTCTATCTCTCTCATTCTCTCCTTACATTTCTGTCACTCACGAATATTCACATAGATATAGAGATAAAGAAAGAGAGAGAGGTAGAGATAAAAATCAATTATATTTAATATCTTTTCATTGATTGTTTTTTGTGTTTAACAATAACTATACTCTCTTTATCCATTGTATAATATGGAGTATTAATAGTATTATTATTGTTATTATTACTACCGGAAAAAATGTTTGTTTCATATTACTTATATGGCTAAATAAAATGTCCATTGAGAAACCTGGAATCACTAGCTAGCTGTTTCGCCCTAGTATGGGACACCTCAGCTGCAGTGCGCATCCACGATCCTGCCCCGCGAGATTCGAACCCAGAACCTATGAGTCTTGAGCGCTTCCAAGTTGACTTTCAAACTCGAAAATGCTCTGATATGGCTGCGAGTAGGGCGAGCCAGCTCTCCTTCTCGAAATGCTCTCACATGGCAACATGCATACAATCACTGTCACAGAAGTCCTACTCATTGCCTTCTTGTGGCATTACTGTTGTTTACAAAATTGACAGCATGGAAAGCGAATATTCGGCATTTGAACTGGGTTAGTGGATATGAAGGATCCACCTAGTTGAGTTGGAAAATCTTGATTCCGAACCAATGGATTTATGAAGTCACAATTGAGTCTGTTTCTTTGTTTAGATGAATTTGAATATATTACTGATTGATTTTAGTTTGAAAACCATTGGAAATCTAAAAACATTGTACGGTTATCGGACCTTGTTTAAATCAATCTAGTTTGCGATATAAATGACGAATTAAACAATAAACAAGCTGATTTGATTAGGAATGTATTACTCTCAGATAGTGTACTTCATACAGATTAGTCTTTTGAAACAAAGAAGTAATGAATAAGTTTATATTCATTGAGTAAGGTAGCTGGTATATGTTATAAGTGCTTAACCATCCCTTATCTGTATGGCCATAGTTAGTCGATGTAAGTGTAGTCTATCAAATGGACATGCTAACTGTATAAATCAGATGGATTATAGAACTGTGAACTCAATTTTCTAACCAATGAATCATGGGTTGCAGTTCTACTTTTCATCAGAGTTCTATTAATAATACATTGGTCTCATTTCCCGACCGTAGCTTCTACCTTGACGCGGTGGTCGAGCTTGCCTATCGTGATGACCCAACCGAGCTATATTGGCTGGAACGTATGTTCCTGTAGGTTCTACCATGCCAGGCAGGTCGATTGGAGAACGGTAAGACTAAAAGCAGCAACTCAAGGTCCGAAGGCGAAGTCGTACTGCTGACTGTAGATGGGTGTGACAGCATCAAGGTGTTTCCCTCGGACAACCAGCATCTACAGCGATGCTGCCTTCTCACAAAGAGGGGTGGGGTTAGAAAAGGTCGACCCTAAAAATGTCACACCTCACCTTACCTCATGGATTTCCGTCTCCGGCGGTAGGGCCCTTTGAAGAACGGAGCTAACACATTAAAAACCTTCCACAAAAAGGCCGTGCGCGGCCGGCCTCAAGCAGTTGTCCCTTGGGCTCTGCGGTCACGCTCCCAGGTCGTCAAGACCAACACTAATCCAATTTCCTTTTCAGGTTCCTCAAGAAATACCCTTCCACAGTGTGGGCAGCCGGGAAGTGACATCAGCCCTCATACCCGTAACAGCACACGAGACCAAGTTGGTCACATTCAAATCCTTCCTACATCTCCTAATACCTCTCTTATCTCCATGACTAACCCTCCTCACGTCTCTTTATCACCTCGCACCGCTAGGGCAAACGATTCGAGTACGTGGAACGCTATTCCTGGTCTCTTGAAACCACGCTCTAAACTACACGTAGGAGCTTTTAACGTCCGAACACTCTGCCAAATAGGACAGCAGGCTTCCTTAGCTAGGACTTTAGAATCTCGCGCCATCGATGTGTGCTGCGTCTCCGAAACACGCATACAAGATCCGAGTAGCGTCATTCATTTGACCTCACCATGCCAAAATAAAGAACCAACTCGATTTACGCTTCGTGTATCTGGATGCCCTGATGCTGCTTCTCGTGGCCTCACCGGCGTAGGTATAGCATTGAGTCCTAGGGCAGAACTAGCTCTCTTAGACATGATCCCAGTAGACAGTCGTTTGTGCGCTGTCCGACTAAACGGAACACTAAGGACTCGGAAAGATAGGGACACTCGTCGTTGCCTCTTCGTCGTCTCTGCCTATTCTCCCACTGACTGCAGCTCAGATGATGTAAAAGATGACTGCCTCGACGTGCGATGTTCAGTGGTCTAGGAGTAGGTTAAAGGAAAGCTACGGGCGGCCAGACCAAAACATGGCACAAGTCCATGAAGTCACTGATAAGTGGACTGAGTCATATTGGTAGGTGTAGACTACCTGGTTGGGGACCGCGAGATGATAGCAACCGATGGTTAGAGACCCAGAATGACATGACTCAAAATCGTTTGCAATGGCGCAGGTGCATCCACTCTTTGTGTTCTCCCAAATTTTAATCTCCCGATTCCTCCCTGTCTGTTTTTTCTCTTCCCAAATTTATTTCACTGGATTACACTTTAAATAACATCTCCAAACCCTAGTCTTCCCGATTACTGCTTATACTCTTACTACCTTTACCACTACGGGATTTGAATCGACCACTGCATCTCTGTGCTAATGTGGTATGGCAACTCGAACTGATGTACGCACGTACGAAGTTCTACGTTGTTACTGACTGACTGAAATCTCATTTACTATGGAGAAAGTGTCATAGGTTCGATTGTTGCTTCATGTATTTTAGGCAGTCAGTCAGTCAGGTAACATATCTAACTCTTATATTTAATGTATCATCCAACAAGATACTGAGTACGGGAATCTGTATTTTAATCTACCAGGTTATATTGAATAATAATACTTTCTTGGTCATCAAAAAATAATTATTTTTTGGATTATTCAACTTTCTTTTTATACTTTTTCCCTTTCAATATCAGCTATTCCGAGAAGTGAATATTATGAAAATGTTAAATCATCCAAACATCGGTAAGATACAATTTTGTTTATGATTATTATTGTACAATAATCATATATGATCATTCAGTCACCCAGTGATTGTAACCATTAGTACATAATCTCAGCATTGATTACTGATCCAATTTTATCGATTAAGTTATATAGCCATTAAGTTAAGTAACTTGACACATCGCTGTATACTTTATATTAGCTGGTAAGAGAGACGTTACTATTGATTTATACAGGTTAACACAGGTTCGAGCTGTCCAGGTTTTTGGATACTCCGTACTAATGAGTACCAATTACCAAGAAATCTAATATCAGAACATACTGTTTATTGCCTAAAATACTTTCATCTAACATTTGTATATCATTAAACTTAAATTGTAGAAAATTCTAGTTTCAATTGTGTTGTTAGAATGAATTGATTTAACATGGAGTTGATAATATTTCGGTTCGATCGTATGAAGATTCATCGCTAAGACGACGACGACGACATGTCACTGATTAGTGGAGGTGTATAGGTTTGCTTTTAAACCATTCAATATTTAATCAATAGATTTTATATTCGAACCTCACTCGACATATTTTTGTTTGAACAACTAGCTAATATGAAACCCCTCTTATCACAAACAGCTTGACTCAAAATCAAGTGCATTCAAAAGTTGCTAATATTATCGGTTTAAGTGATTTTGCTTGGAATTGATTAATTCAATTAGTAGTAGTCATCAATGGAAATGCTATTGTAAAATGGAGTTGCCAGGGGAATTATTTGGTTTGAGTTTGCTGCTCAATTATTCCTATTCACAATAATCATGTCTAGTAAAAAGGTGATGATGAGAACACTTCAATGAACATATGTTATTTCTTCATGTTTCCATGATAGTAGTCTAGTTGATGAGAAGGCGTTTAAAACCATAGTTATAATTGTGTATATTTGTGTTGTCTGATTGTGGATGTATTATTATTTGTCTAAAAAAAAGGTAGAAATGAGAAAGGCAATGTAGGATCCACTGTTCTACTGATATAATGTCGTTTCTAACTGGTCTAACAATTACAGTTATTTTCTGTGTTTCTGTGTGAAATTTTCAGTCTAATTTATAATCTATACTTTTTATATTGTGAATTCATTTGTTCATTCTTTTTCTTTGTAACAGTATAGATTTTTATGACCCCATTTTGGCAACTTATACCACCCGTAGTGTTGATGACATGTTCATATCATTTGTTCATCAGCACCGTCTGTTTTAATTTATAGACATAAAAATGAAGTTTATAAATAACAGACACAAATAAGCTACAAGATTCTAACCGTAGATACCTTCGAAGGATTTCTCATGTATGTGTGTGTGGTGGTGGTGGTGGGCAACAAAAAATTGATTAATGCGGTGGTTCAATATGATTTACTTAGGTAACGATAACGAGTGGTTTGATAGGGTGGGTGGATGTGTACTAATCTTCATTGATTGAGATAGCTGGAGTGAATTTTACACATACACAATCATCATTTACATGAGTTGTGGGTAAAAACACAACAGAGGCGGTAAACCAAAAAAAAAGCATTACTCCATTATGTTATTGCCTGTTGGAATGTGCTGAACAGAGAGAGGTACAGACTATCTTGATTGAATGAAGCTCAATTAAATTCCTTCAATGATGATTGATTTGAATAGTAATACTTTGAATTAATATAATTTTCTATTTGTTTAGTTGAATAAATTGAAGTATAGAATTTCATCGACTGTTTATATGATACATGATTGTTTCGTTTGACATTTGACAAATTTAAGCACCGTTTAGAATGATGTTGTAATATGATTGTTTTTGAAAGTATTTGTATTGTAAGTTTTATTTCGTTGAATTTACTTCATCATCATACATGTGACTGAAAGGAATATGTATGTACATATATAATCATAAGTGAAGGGGGATGCTGGTGCTTGTGGTGGTAGTGGTGATGAGGATCGATGATTTGTCAACTCAAACACAACTACTCACAATATGGAATTCATTTGAGTTACTAGTATATTTATTTATGTATCAGTCGATTAGTGTAGATGTACGCGTGTGATTTAGTGATTCCATGCACAGTATTTATACTTCATAAATATTGAACGTTTTCTTTGAAAGTGGATCTAACTGTAAATGAGTTCAACTGATACCCACTTAGTTACCGTATTTTTGTCTTTAAAATCAACATTATTGTTGCTAACCATATTTTCTGGTTATTCTTCTTATTGTCAACTAGTTCGCTTATATGAAGTGATCGAATCTGAGCGTCATGTATATCTAGTGATGGAATATGCAGAAAATGGTAAGTTCTTTGTCTTACTTTTGCATTTCTTATTGTTTGTTATAAACAAATGGCACTTCCTATGAAATTTATCAAATTTCACTGATGATGACATTTAGATAATTAAGCTCTGACCTTAGATCCTTCTATTGAATGTCCGTCTTTTTGTTTTCGAGGTTTGTTCAGTTCACATTTCATAGCAAGATATACCTTTATTATATACTCTCATTTACGTTGACTTCTTGTGTGTTGATATGGTGTGTATCACGACTTCTTAGGCTAATATATATTACTAAGAGATCTTCCTAAATTGTGTTATGATTCAATCAATGTAACTATTTCTACTGTACAGAATGTATGTCACTGGAAACTGTGGTCTGATGTATTTTGTCTTATTTATCAATATTTACTTTGCTTGCTGATAATCAATTTCCTTTTTAATGAATAATTCACCTTGACCTGATTCAGTGTAAAGAAAGAATCGATTATTATTATTATTATTATTATTATTATTATTATTATTATTACTGCACACTTTTACTAATCCATCTTGGCTTATTTCTATCTGTCTGATTATCTATTTTAAAAGCTGTCCTCCATCTACTCGTTTTCTTGCTTTCTATCTATCTATCTATCTATCACTTCCTCGTTAAAATGCACAAAGCTAAGATTAAATTGATGGATGATCTGGTTTAAGTGTATGATGATTGGTTTGTATTACACTTGTGAATACGATTTTTCATCGGAAATATTAATTGATTACATGGTTATTATCACATCAACTTTCTTTCATGTAGGTGTTTTCTCATTATATCCTTTCGTTTTCTTTCATTTCACTCCTGTTTTAATACAATCGAATCAATGATGTTGTATATTTCCAAGCTGACTGCGATCAGTACTAGTTATAGATTTATACTTCTATTAGTCATTGGTTTGGTAGTCATAGTCTTCGACTTTCTTTCAACAAATTAAGCTTTGATATCCCTTGTCTAGTTAATTCAGTTTGTATAACTGGTTGATATGTCAGTAGCCGTCGTGCTTAAGGTGTGGCCCTCAAGTGTCCTGGTACGGCCGAGGATGGGGATAGTCCGCTCACCCTCTCGAAATGCTCTCACATGGCCACATGTATATAGTTTATGCCAAAGAAGTCCTACTCATTTCCTTCTCGCACCATGGGTGTTTTTTACGAAGTCGAGAGGACGAAAAGCGAATGTCCGGCGCTTTAACCGGGTTTGTGGACATTGAGAGTCCACCTAGGGGAGTTGGAAAACCCCAATTCCAAAGCAATGGTGCACATGGTTTCCGTATCCTGAGAGAACAAATGTCGTATGTACCAATCATTGGTCACCGGCTACCATGGCACTGCATCTCCTTGCGATGCTCCATTGCCTTGTGGATCAGACCTTTAGGTGGAAGGCTGCGAGTGTGGCCCACTAAGTAAACCACCTATTCCGGTTTGGGCAGCCGGGCAATATCACAGCCCTCACCCAAGTAAAATGAGATTTGTGTGGCGCAAATGTAATTGGTACCTTCTTGTATCAATATCTATGTGTTCAAATAAAATAAATATAAAATAAAAAGTGGCTTGATCCTCCTATTTAACTGATCGTAGTGTTATTTATATTTATTTAGATACATAAATTTCCAATTTTTTCCCATCTGAAGTCAGTCAATCAGTAACAACGTAGAACTTCGTGCGTACGTACATCAGTTCGAGTTGCCATATCACATTTGCACACAGATACAATTGTCGATTCAAATCCCATAGTGGTAGAGGTAAGAGTATAAGCAGTAATCGGAAAGACTAGGGTTTGAAGATGTTATTCAAGGATAATAATCCAGTGAAATAGATTTAGAAAAAAAAAAGAAAGGGACATGAAGAATTCAGAAAATAAGGATTTGGGATTTGGTCTGACCGCCCCTAGCTTTCTTCCAACCTACTCCTACACCATAAAACATTGCACGTCGGGGCAGTAACTTACATCAACTTGCCCTTCAGATCTACTGGAGATCGTGAGAAATTGTAGATAGTTTAATTGAACATTTATCGGTAAATTCATCTAATCAAACAAGTCACAAGTTCCTATGTCCAGTATAAGAAGCGCGCGCTAATGGGTTGGTGTCTGACGAAATCTCAGCACGGATTCAATAAGCTCGTTTGGCTTTTTCCAATTTGCGTCACCTATGGCGAAGGCGAGATACCCGTCTATCAATTAAGGGATGAGTATACTGCGCGGCAGTTTGTTCTGTTTTACTTTACGGCTGCGAAACGTGATCATTAAGAGTAGAAGATATTCGTAAGCTACTAGTATTTGATCACAGATGTCTTAGAAATATTGCTGGCGTCTGCTGGGATCACCGTGTAAGCAATAGTGAGGTTAGACGCAGGGTGTTAGGAAATGATGATGGTAAATCAGTTGATGAGGTTGTGTATCTTCATCGACTGAGATGGTTGAGCCATGGTGTTGCGTATATCTGAACACCGATTACCACGACGCGCAATCCTGACTGGTGTTAGAGGTGGTTGGGAGAAAGTTAGAGGTGGCCAAACTAAAACGTGGCATCAGTGCTTGAAGTTACTAACTTGTAGTGTTAGCCATGTTGGTAGATGCAGGCTACTTGATTGTTGTCCATGTGACAATCGTAAACAATGGTTGGAGACTGTGTGTGGCATGGCTCAGGATCGATCACAATGGCGTAGGTGTATACGCACTTTGTCTTCCTTCAAACTGTGAGAATAAAATTGCCTTATATCTTTCTTTCTACGAACTAATTCCTTATTGCTATGCTATATCCTTATATGCAATCTTCCTTTTATACATTACCACCACTGAATTAACTACTTCTATGAATTTGATGTTCATCTTGTTGTGCTAATCAGGTATGACAACTTGGATCAATGCGCATATGTACCTGTTCCTACGTTGTAACTGACTGAATCACTTCGCATAAACCTCTACTAATCATTATGTTACCATTTTTCAAGTACGTAAATATCTTGTTTCTATGGATTCATTCTTTTTCTTATTTTCTATCGTTAACATCTTAGTGTTGTTCATTTCGTCGTTTGTTTATTTTTCATGACATGACATAATGGTGATTCTGATCATAATGATAATGCTATTTTAGTTAACTTTTTTTTCTAATTATGTTTACCTTTAAATGGCATTCATTAAAAGAGAAGAGAAAACAAACTATCCCCTTGCTTGTATACACACATTCATGTAACATTAAAAGTTCTCATTATTGTCAACCAATAGAATGTATGTTTACTATTTCGTCTTTCAATATTCCTCTCTATATGTGTACTGTGGAACATTTTTTCCAATTCGATTGTCATATCTATTTTTCATTTTTATTACCCTAATTATCTACATTCTTCTATAATCAATTAAGCATTTATAACTTAGTGTCATGTTAATGATTACAATTTGATTAAGAGTCAATGTAATAAAATGAATAAATGATAAGACATAATGAATATGAATGAATTACATTTGAATGTGTATACTTTATTTTATTGCCTTCATCTAATACCCTGGTACGACTGAGGATGTGGAGAGTTAATTAGCTCTCTGTCGAAAAATACTCTCACATAGCCAAATGCATACAATCATCGATAGGGAAGTCCTACTCACTCACTGTCTTCTCGCACCATGGGTGTTGTTTACGAAATTGAAAGGATGAGAAATGAATGTTTGACACTTTAAATGAGTTGGTGGATACAGAGGATCCGCTTAGAGGAGTTGGAAAACCCTGATTCCAAACCAATTGTTTAAATAGGCTCCACGATCCTGAAGGAACAAATGGGGTATCAGCCTATTGTTAGTCACTGGCTATCATGGGACTGCATCTCCTGACGTTGTTTCACTGCCTTGTGGATCAGACATGTAGGTTGAAGGCTCCAGGTGTGACTCCCTAAGAAACTCATCTGTCGTGGTTTGGTCACCCGGGCAGTATCCTAGCCCTCACACTCATATCGAATGATTTATATTGTGCATATCTATTTAGTACCTTGTTTTCCCAATATTTATGTGTTTAAATGAATGAATAAATTAATTAATTAACTGTATTCTATCAAAGAAGAATAGATGTGACCAAATGTTTCTATCATGATTTCTATTAAAATTAATCTTGAATATTATATAAGATAGTTAATTACTTAATTCATCAATACATGAGTCCGTAAACGTCATCTTTATGCTTTATAAAATAGAATTCTAATGAACAAATTATCTCTTGTCAAAATCAATAAGTATAATGGTAATGAATAGACAATGTGTTATGATATGATGTAACCAAATAATAGTTACTTGTGAAATCAAATTATTGATGTCAGCTACTGAACTGTTTGAAATCAAAGACAAGATCGTTTACTATGTTCTGAAATAATACAGTTTTTTTTTTACTGAATATTAACTCTAAAAGTAACACCTCCAAATACCATGAGACGACCGAAGGTGGGGAGAGTTATCTCTCCCTCTCAAAATTTTATCATATGGTAAGGTTATATCCAATCACTGCCAAGGATGTCGCACTCACTGCCTTCTCGTGACAGGGATATTGTTTACGAAATTGACAACATGAAAAGCGAATATCCGAGTATGAATGATCCATCTAGGGGAATTGGAAAACCCTGATTCCAAACCAATGGTGCACATGTACTACAGGATCCTGAGGGAATAAATGACGTCTGGACCAATTATTGGTCACCGGCTGAATTGGACGTTTAGACTGAAGGCTCCGGGTGTGGGGCTCCCTAAGAAAATCACCAGTTTCGGTTTAGGTATCCGAACAGTGTGACAGCCGACACACAAATCAATTGACTTATGTGGCCCATATGTATTCGATACCCTATTTGTACCAATATTTATGTTTTCAAATAAATAAACTAAAAGTAATGCTGAGAAATGTTATAGGCAATCACAGTTAAATACTTTCTAATTAGTTAAAAATTGGGTGTTGGATCTAATTTTTGCTCATCATGAACTGAAATAATTTTATTTGGTTCTTGAAATCTCGTCAATATGCTTGTTTATTTAATCACTTTACTTAAATCGATTTGGACAAATGATGAATTATATTCTTAACGCGTACGGTTAATATTCATTATCTGCAAATGTTCTGAGAAGACACCGTTGTTCGACGGTTATTTAGTGTGTGTTGTACAGTCGGTTCTTTTATATTTTAGGCTTATAAATTGTGGTATGTTGTCTAAAGTTTCTGAATTACATTCAATATATTTTCACTGATGAATATTATTACCGAAGCCAATATTTGCTACATTTGCTTAGCAGTGTAGTCAGTTTTCACTTTAACCATTATGTATATTGGTCAGTTAACTTTTTCCACTTTGAACAAATTACTTCAATTACATACTTGTTTTGTAATCATCTCATAAGAATTTCATGTTTAATCACTGAGACTCGTGATTTTTAGTATTTATCACTAAGTCATCGTTGCACACAACATTAAGTATTTTTCATTGATCGTGGATGCTCACTGCTGAGGTGTCCCATACTAGGACGAAACGGTCGTCCAGGTTTAATTGTCTCATGATTTAAACTATTAAAATGAATATAATATCCACAAAAATCCCTTTCTGATAATTACCGTTGACTTAAATTCTTCAGGATTTGTTTAATGTTAATTTTTCGTCCATTGATCATATTATCCAGACTACCAATCTTTTCTTCTAGTAGAACGTCAAATACATCATATGATGAAATTAGTAAAAAAATTTCCAAATTCCATTTACTTTGATTATTCATCTATCTACATATTACCATTTATGATTGTTTCATAATCGTCGTTTACTTTTTTGGCATTCGTTCAAAGCAGTTATTAGTTGTATATGGTGAATATTGATCTCAGTGTATTATGATTAGTGCTACTTATTATTCTAACTTTGAAATGGTATTTCTAGTTTGAAAGTAGAAAAAAAAAGTATTATCATCAAAGTGCTATTGTTTCAACACATGTTTATTTGTGAGTATAATACTGTGTAGGCGTTACAATCCATTATGGTTACTTTGTGTATCATATAACTATTGCTATTTCGTACTTATTATTATTATTATTATCATCTGCATTTTCATTCATCTTTTGACCTTTGTTGGTTGCTGGCACAATACTTTGTGTGGGTGTGTGTATGTATCGACATAGTTTTGTTGTGAATCCTTTCGGTCTCTATCTTGTGATATATGAGGGCATATGTAATTTGTGTTTACATTGTAATTCAATGTTCACATAATTTGTTTCTATTCTAGATATACATATACATATTTATTCATATACTATTCTACAATCGATGTTTGTTTTTTTATCGTGTTCAATATGGTTAATTCTTTTTCATTTATCCTAATTATCGTGCATAGTTACTATGTTACTAGTGTTCATATTTATTTTATCATGGACTGTTACCATTTTAATTAATTATTGAGAACTAGAAAGAATTGACATTTGTAATCTATTACCTGTGACCAACTTTGTAATAGATTCTCTAGTTGTTTTTTTTCCCATCTGAAATCATAATTTGTGGAGTTCAATCAGAACCATAGAATATAGTGACTTAGTGGTTTAAAAATAGTAGAGCCCCCAAATGCCCTTGTACGACCGAGAGTAGAGAGAGTCAGCTCTCCTTCGAAAAATGCTTTCACATGGTCACTTGCATACAACCACTGTTAGGGAAGTCCTACTCATTGCCTTCTCGTGGTCGGGGTGTTCTTTACAAAATTGACAACACGAAAAGCAAATGTCTGGCGTTTAAAACGGGTTGGTGGACACGGAAAGTCCACCTAGGGCAGTTGAAAAACTCTGATTCCAAACCAATGCTGCACATGGTCTCCCATATCCTGAAGTTACAAATGGCGTATGAACCAATCGTTGGTCACCGTCTACCATGGGATTGCATCTCCTTACGTTGCTCCACTGCTTGTGGATCAGATCTTTAGGTGGAAGGCTCTGGTTGTGGCCTCCTAAGAAAACTACCTGTTTCAATTTGGTCACCCTGGCAGTATCCTAGTTCTCGCACAAATCGAATGATTTATGTGGAGCATATCTATTTGGTATCTGCTTGTACCAAATGTGTATGTGTTTAAATAAATAAATCAATCAAAGATATAGTACTCTTTGATATTTGCTTTAAAGTTTCTATGAGTTCAACATTGTATTGGATCGTAAATGATTTATATTCTTTATTGAAATGTTTCAAATACTAGTTCGAAGCAATTTGTCAATTACTATCTGAATTCTACATTTCTAATTTGCAATAAAAACTAACATTAAATTGAATAATTTGCATAAGCTCTCATGTTTTCATGAGAATATTATTGTTGTATATTTGTGCATTTATTTACAATTATTCATATGTGTATATTTTACTGCTTATAACGGATATCTTCTCTTTTTTCTGTTTTGTTTTTGTGTTCTAAACAAAATATCTACTGAAGAGATAAGTTAACAATGTTACTGTTAGACTCAAAATACTGAGTAAAGATGCGAATAGTTTAATGTGGTTGTGAATCTTTATTGATTGGATTAGTTGGAGCATGTATTATATGTATGCCTAAACATTTCTTACCTTAACATATGATTTTTTATGATCTCGGAGTGGTCAAATTAAAATGTGATACTACTCCATGAAGTCATTAACTGTTGAACTAATCCATGTTGGCAAGTGTAGATTAACTGATTAAGATCTGAACGATTATTGTAACATGGTTGTGTGTGTTACATAGTATAGAATTGTTCGCAATGGTGTAAATGTATTCACTCTTTATCTTTGTTTAGATCTTGAGTTTTTAAACAATTTTATACTTTATATTCTACTGATTCATTCATTTTCTCACATTCTGTTGTCACTGCCTGTTTTTTTTCTACTACCATTTGTTTTGTTTTCTACTAATTCTACTACTCTGCTATTTATCTCAATAGTTTCTTCTCGGTTTGCTAATGTGCTGTATCAATTTGGACTGATGCACATATATGCCAGGTTCTACATTATTTATAACTGACTAAAGACATGTGTATCAGGTGTAGAATTATTATAATTAGTTAACTATGTGGTTGGTATCTTGTCTTACAGATTGTTCAGTTATGTTTATTATTTATTTATTTGTTACTGATGATGATGATCGAATTCTATGAGACACTGTGTAAGTCTGACATAGTTGGACAATGTATTTTGTTGTTGTTACTTTTTAAATCCAATGCGTACCTAATTGTCAATTTATCGTTTATTTATTTGAACACATCAGTATTGGTACGAAGGAGCACCAAATATATATGCGCCACACAAAACACTTGGTTTGTATATGGGCTATGATACTGACTGGGTGCCCAAATCGAAGCAGGTGGTTTTCTTAGGCGGTCACACCCGGAACCTTGGACTTAAAGGTCTAATCCACAAGGCAGTGGAGCAACTTTAGGAGATGCAGTCCCATGTTAGCGGGTGACCAACAATAGGTTCATACGCCATTTGTTCTCTCAGGATTCTTGAGCCCATTTGTACCATCGGTTTGAAACCAGGGTCTTCCAACTCTTCTAGGTGGACTCTTCGTGTCCACCAACCCGGTTAAATTGCCGGACATTCGCTTTTTGTCCTCTTAATTTCGTAAAAAACAGTATTGCCGCGAGGAGGCATGTGAGTATGACAGTGGTTGTATACGTGTTGCCATGTGAGAGTATTTCGAGAAGGAGAGAGGACTCATTGCACCTTCAACCGTACCAGGCATTTGGGTGCATATTTAGATAGTGATTACCTCAGATAAAAATTTATAGTAAATATTCTTTTATTTATATAATAGTGCATAATGCTTGTAGATCTTTTCAGTAGTTCTTTAACTCATCATATCTTCAAAACAATCATCGAGTTTGTTTACTATATCATTCTACTGTTTACAGTATTCATGTTTTTCTACACTTTGTTGATCATTAGTAATGTTGATGTTTATTTTATGTTTGAGAATTAAGCAAATATAAGATAGATAACTACATTTTCTTTTCTCTTCAAAATAGATTGTTGTATACCTTCCTTTTGGTTGATTTATTCATAATCAATAATATTTGTAACTATGATTTATTCAAGTGATAATTAGTTTCCCTTTCATTCTTTTCCTTTTCCTTTTATGATGCAAAATGAATAATTAAAGGCGAAGTATTTGATCACTTAGTAGCTCATGGTCGAATGAAAGAACGTGAAGCACGTGCTGCATTTCGTCAAATTGTTTCAGCAGTTGAATATTGTCACCAAAAGAAAATTGTACACAGAGATTTAAAGGTTTGTGATTGTTGCTCTGTTTCTTCTCATTTTGTCGATTTATAAACGATTTTCAAGTATAATTATTCAAGTGTGTCCCATCTGATTTTCTAGACTAAACGAGAACTAAGTTTGAAATATACAATCAATAACCTAATGTCGAGATGTGATTACAGAAGTTTTAGTAAGGAGCTATGACTAATGGATTTCAGTTATGTCGCTCTTGAGATAAATATCACTACTGGTAATATGTAATCATTTAGTGTCGCGAAATAACTGAAGCTAGAAATGTAAACCCTTAAGTGCTGACTTAATGGCCTGGTGATTAAGTGCTTGTCTGGAGAGTTGGAGGTTCGAGATTCAATTTTTTGTAGATTTTTATAGGTTCACCTCCGAATAGTACTATACTAGAACTAAACAGCTATTTATGCTTTCCGGTTCTCGGTAATTGTTTGATCAAAGTCAATCGATTATTTGGAACTTTGAGTTCATTTAGAATCAGATTACTCTAAGTAGTAAATTATCTCTTCACGCATTAATTTTCATGTATATTTAAATTTTTAAACATCTACTTAGTGGACTAGTTATTTGCTCCTGTATATTATACATAACCGAAACTAGCGAGCTTCAACTTGGAAGCAGTGTTTGCTTGATTGATTTTGATAAGTTTGCGGCAATATCTTTTACAGAGAATCTAAGTTTCCAGTGACTTTGCCTTGTCGTAGACTTTAATAGCGTGGATAGCAAATGTTGGGATAGTAGTAAGCTGGACTGTCTTTTGAGATAAAATCTTTAATATCGGAGATGAGGTTACAAAGTGTGCATAAATAAATAAAAATAGTCATGAAAAGGCTGTGTTATTGACCGTCATTTAATGTCTTAATGTGTTGTCATCATGTTTTCATGTGATGTTTACATGCCATAATGCCGTGTTACTTGTTGTTACACTTGATTACTAGGATATCATCTTGAGTTTTTTCAATTGTGTGAATTCATATCATTGTATTCTGAAAGTTCTCTAAAAACTGAAAATATGTACTTCTCATAATAACTTTCAGTTTTCCCGTATTCTTTGCAGTTATGGATTAACTACATGTCTTAAGTTTTTACCTTGAAAAACAGTAAAAAAAAATCATAGGACAAACACATTCTCGCCCTTACCTATTTCGTACGTTGACGCAGATACAATGGAAGCTCTCTTGTGAAGTAGTAGCGCATAGATTAGTTCCACATTACTTTGTGGAATGATATTCTACTCTTTATCCACTAGAGTAGATCACTTCAATTATCGATACAATTTTCGATTGCATTTCAGGCTGAGAATCTTCTCTTCGATGGATATTTTAATATTAAACTTGCTGATTTTGGTTTCTCCAATCTTTTTGATGGATCTAAAAAATTAGATACTTTTTGTGGTAGTCCACCATATGCTGCACCGGAATTATTTCAAGGACGTAAATATGATGGTCCAGAAGTGGATGTATGGTCATTAGGTGTAATTTTATATACACTTGTCAGTGGATCATTACCATTTGATGCACAACATTTAAAAGTTAGTTTTAATCGTTCCGCTTTTTTTCTTTAATATTTGAAATACTTATAAAATTTAGGATTTGCGTAAACCATTCATTTAATTGTATACATATATCTTTTCGGGTCGCTTCCGGTACACTTGCCTACTTTAATCAACATAATATGTGCAAGGGGCACCAAATACACACAATAACAATGAGGCCAGTAGCAGTTATCATTGATTTGTGTGTGTGAGCTGTTATATTGCCCGGGTACCCAAACCGAAGCAAATGAATCACTGATTCACAAGGCAGTGGAGCACCTTTAGGAGATACAGTCCCATGGTAGCCAGTGATTAACAACAGGTTTATACGGCATTTGTTCTCTTAGGATCCTGGAGCCCATTTGCATCATTGGTTTGGAATCAAGATTTTCCAACTCCCCTTGGTGGATACTCTGTGCCCACCAACCCGTTTAAAGCGCCGGACATTCGCTTTTCTTTCTCTCAATTTCGTAAACAATAGTAATACCGGGAGATGGTAATGAGTCTGACTTCCCTAACAGTGGTTGTTTGGACGTGGCCATGTGAGAGCATTTCGTGAGAGAAAGAGCTAACTCTCCCTACCCTTGGCCGTACCAGGACATTTGGGGGGGGAGAGTAGTCATTTTATACTTACTTAAATTAGATTAGCATCAACAAACTATTTATGTTATCTAATGACTTCTTGTTCACTTACCGACACATAGACTATCTCTTGAAAAGTGGTCGATTTTTTTTCCAGATCCATCTAAATAGTAGAATGAAGGGATCATCGGGTGAATATTTTTTAATTTAACTGAATAGTGAACTTACTCCATGAAAGAGATAGACAGTTATACAGCATCTTATTTTTGTTTTAGACATGCATTAATTCAAAGTTAGTCGTGCGGGCACATACACATAGGAATTAGTTCTCATGATAATTATTTCACTAGATTTTTCTGATATAATCTGAGATTGATAATTGAAACTTCTGATAAGGTTCGACCTTTTTTTTTTCATCCCGCTTTTTCATACATATATAATACACATTTATACATATATGTATACATAAATTAATTCTAGGATTTACAAGAACGTGTATTACGTGGCAAATATCGTGTTCCATTCTATATGTCAACTGATTGTGAAGCATTACTTCGTAAACTATTGGTATTGAATCCAGCCAAAAGAGTCACATTAAGGGTAAATCAATATATATTAATTATTACTCACGCTTAACATTTTTTCTATATCTTCGTCTTTATTCTCTAACTGAAACGGTCTAGTTTTTCAATAATGCAATGAGAAGATGAAGTTTATCAGATTTATGTAATGATAGAATTGCGTAATACATTTCGAACAATCTGATCACACATAAGATACTTGTTAAGAACATTTATATATGAAAAATTAAAAGGTCAACTAGACAGGTTAAGAGTAAGCCATAACAAAGAAAAAAAAATATTGAAGTACATAGAAACAAATGTGATTACCACTTTGGTTAATAAATCAGTATTACCAGGATAGGTTAAGTGTAAGGACAAATTGTTTTTGAACACATGAAGGGGGTTTCAATTTCCGTATAGCCAAGGCTTCAATCACCCTTGGTATACGTCCTTGAAAGCTTTTGTATAACACTAGAAATGATGATTTGATGTCAACCTTATGACTAGTTTCAATCGAATGTTTCGCAATGAAAGATGATATCTGTCTATTCTGTGATCTTATTTGACTATTGAAATCCATTTGTTTCTGTAACCATTTTGGTATGGTGTTCAGTCTAGTTTTTGTGTTGAACTCAGTAACTAAGTAACCAGGTACATATATATGTACATGAGTAGTTTTCCATTTTCATAATTAAGTCATCATTTACATCAGCAAATGGATTATTGTTACAATCAAATTTGTTTGAACATTTATTTTATTTTATTTATTTATTTAAACACACAAACATTGATACAAGGGGGGCAGAAATAGATTGAAGAAATATTTTTTTGATATTAGCTTTTCATCATGACTCCGCACAGGTATATATATATCATATTAATCAATCGGTTATGTGTTAGGTAATCATTGCATTGTTAATACTTTTACTACTTACTTACCTAGGCCTGTTACTTTTTGTGAAGTAGTATAAGCCGCTCACCAACATTCGCCATCCAACCCTGTCCTGGGCAATCCTTTCCAGCTCCTTCCAGTTGTTATTCATCTTTTTCATGTCTGCTACTGTTTCTCAACGTAATGTGTTCTTTGACCTTCCTCTTTTCCGCTTCCCTTCAAGATTCCAAGTAAGGGCTTGCCTCATGATACAGTTTGATGATTTGCGTAACGTATGTCCTATTCATTTCCATCGTCTTTTCCTAATTTCTTCTTCAGCTGGAAGCTAGTTTGTTCTCTCCCTCAGAAGGCTGTTGCTGATGGTGTCCGGCCAATGGATGTTGAGTATCCTGCTTAGACAGCTATTTATAAATACTTGTACCTTCTTGATAGTGGTTGTTATAGTTCTCCAAATTTCAGCTCCGTACACTAGAACTGCCTTGACGTTCATATTGAAGATTCTGACTTTGATATTGGTTGAGAGTTGTTTTGAGTTCCCTATGTCCTTCAGTTGAAGGAATGTGGCCCTGGCTTTGCCAATCTCCGCCTTTACATCTGCATCTGAACCTCCTTGTTCATCGATGATGCTTCTCAGGTATGTGAAGCATTTTACGTCTTCCAGAGTTTCGCCATCAAGAGTGACTGGATTGCTGTTCTCCGTGTTGTATTTGAGGACCTTGGTTTTCCCCATGTGTATGTTGAGGCATACTGATGCAGAAAGTGCTGCTACACTGGCTGTCTTTATCTGCATTTGCTCGTGTGTATTTGATAGGAGGGCTAGGTCATCTGCGAAGTCCAAATCGTCTAATTGGTTCTGAGCTGTCTATTGTATGCCGTGTTTTCCTTCAGATGTCGAGGTCTTCATTATCCAGTCGACCACCAGAAGAAAGAGGAAGGGAGATAGTAGACAGCCTTGTCTGACTCCGGTCCTTACTTGGAATGCGTCTGTCAGCTGTCCTCCATGCACGACCTTGCACTGTAATCCGTCGTGTGAGTCCCGGATAATATTGACAATCTTCTCAGGAACTCCGTAGTGTCGGAGAAGTTTCCATAACGTTCTCCTATCTACGCCGTGAAATGCCTTTTCATAACCAATGAAGCTGATGTATAGTGACGAGTTCCACTCAACTGATTGTTCAACGATGATCCGTAGTGTCGCAATTTGGTCCGTGCACGACCGATCCTTACGGAATCCGGCTCGTTGATCTCGAAGTTGAGCGTATACTGCATCTTTCATCCGGTTCAGCAACACTCTGTTGAAGGCTTTCCCTGGTATTGACAATAGTGTAATGCCCCTGTAGTTGTCATATTTGCTCAGGTCTCCTTTCTTTAGAATCTTGATAAGGTGTCCTTCTTTCCAGTCCATCGGCATGTGTTCCTCCTCCCAAATCTTTTTGAATAGAAGGTGAAGCATGTTTGTAGTTACTTCGATGTCTGACTTCAGTGCTTCAGCTGGTATGTTGTCGGGCCGTGCTGCTTTCCCGTTCTTGATTTGTCTGATGGTCATTCTGATTTCTTCCGTTGTTAGTGGGTTGATATCTATAAGAAGATCTGTGTGTGCTGTTTCGATGTCCGGTGGATTCATTGGAACCGGCCTATTCAGGAGTTTCTCGAAGTACTCTACCCATCTGTTCCGCTGTTGTTGAATTTCAGTGATTGGCTTGCCTTCTTTGTCTTTTACCGGTCTCTCTGGTTTACTGTATTTCCCTGTTAGTTTTTTCGATGTATCGTAAAGCTGTTTCATATTTCCTTCTCTAGCAGCTGTTTCTGCCGTCGTTGCTAATTCCACCACATATTTCTTCCTGTCGGCTCTAATGCTTTTCTTCACTTGGTTGTTTGCTTCCATGTACTCAGCTTGTGTTTGGACTTTCTGTGTTCGTGTTCGGCCGTTGTTAGTTGCTGTCTTTTGGCTCTTCTTTGATCCTGTCCATTGTTTCTATAGAGATCTATTCCTTATGATGTTGTTTCTTGAGGCCCAGAACCGCTTGACACGTTGAAGTTAATGCTTCTTTGATACCTTTCAAGTTGTCCTCCACAGTAGTTTCTCCTTCCTTCAGTAGATCTTGTAAGGCTTGGAACCTGTTGTTGAGAGCTGTCTTGAATTCATTGAGTTTGTCAGTATCTCGAAGGAAGGCTGTATTGAACCTTTGTAGTGCTGTTTGTCAAGTTTTCCAGTTCTTCTTTAGCTTCAGTTTTAAATTGGCCACAGCTAAGTGGTGATCTGAAGTTATGTCAGCTCTTCTCCTGGTTCTTACATCTTCCGTTGTCCTTCGGAATTTTTTGTTGATGCAAATATGATCTATTTGGTTCTCTTTGGTGTGGTCCGGTGAGATCCATGTAGCTTTGTGTATACGTTTGTGTGGAAATATTGTGCCTCCTATGACCAATTTATTGAATGCACACAGATTTGCAAATCTTCCCCCATTTTCGTTTCTCTCTCCCAGTCCATGTCGTCTCATGATATCTTCATTTCCGACTTTGGCATTTAGATCACTCATCAGAATGGTGAGGTCGTTTCTTGGGCACTTCTCTATGATTGACTGCAGTCTCTCATAGAATTGATCTTTGATGTCGTCGTTGCTATCATTGGTGGGTGCATCACATTGGATAATATTCATTGATCCCCTCCTTTGTTTTGAATGATGCTTCGATGATTCTAGATCCGTGAGATTCTCATCCTATAGGTGCATTTCGTGCTAATTTGGACAGCATTAGAGCAACTCCCTGAGTGTGTGGAGCATTTTCCTCTTCGTGGCCGGAGTACAGCAACGTCTCTTCCGTATTTAGCCTTTTCTGTCCAACTTGGGTCCAATTGGTTTTGCTGATTCCCAGTTCTGCGAAGTTGTATCTCCTCATTTCTGTTGCTATTTGACTGGTCTCCCACATTGTTCGGACGTTCCATGTACCTATAAAAATTGTTGCTGTTGTTGTTAGATGGGGCATCGACCTCATGGCTTCCGAAGAACTTGCCTTTCACCATGAGGCGTCATATTTCTTCTAAATGGAGACCAAATTCCCAGGGCAGAGTTAAAATGGTTTGAATTATTTTTTGGTTAGCGTTTTTTAGCGAGTTAGTTTTCTACGGGATGGGGTCGGTAATCCCATGCCCAACCGTCCACCTTTACCCCGGCTTGGGACCGGCAGTAAATCTAGAAGAGCTACAGGTGGAGTTATTTTTACTACACTGGATTTCTATTTATGATAATTACATCTCATTGTTCTGTTATGATGGAGCAGCTTGAAATGATATACATGGTTGCAAAGTTCCAGGTTATATATCAATGACTGATTTTTTAAAATAATAAATCGTGGTTTCTTACTTATTAGGTTAATCGATCGCTTTCTTATTTAATAAAATTGGCTTGAATTCAAAATTTGGGGTATCATAGATAGCATCAATTCTTTGAAGATTGTGTATACGCTGTGCTGACATCAAATACTAAAGATAACGAAATATATGTCTGTTTTTTTTAATAATGACTACCAACCACCTGAAATCTTTAATCCAGTGCATATTAAATCTTTTTGAATAATTACATCATTCCAATTGGATTCTTTTTTTTTCTTGTTTTTCAATGGCATTTAAGAGCATTTCTTAACAAATCACACCTTTTATGTAGTTTTAACTGATACTCCTAAGTTAATAGTATTTGATCACAGATGTCTTAGAAATATAGCTTGCATCTACTGAGATCACTGGGTAAGCAATAGTGAGGTTAGACGCAAGGTGTTAGGGAATGATGATGGTAAATCAGTTGATGAGGTTGTGAATCTTCATCGACTGAGATTGTTGGGCCATGGTGTTGCGTATATCTGAACACCGATTACCACGACGTCCAATGGTGACTAGTGTTAGGCATAGCAGGAAGAAATTTAGGGGCGGTCAAACAAAAACGTGGCATCAGTGCTTGAAGTTACTAACTTGTAGTGTTAGCCATGTTGTTGAATGCAGGCTACTTGATTGTTGTCCGTGTGACAATCGTAAACAATGGTTGGAGACTGTGTGTGTGGCATGGCTCAGCATCGATCACAATGGCGTAGATGTATACGCACTTTGTCTTCCTTCAAACTATGAGATGAAAATCGCTTCATACTTTTTCTTCTAC